AGACAATGATGTATGGTGGTATGTTGCAGTAATGGAACTTGTCGTTCGTCAATCCATTTTTCGGGGATAACCCGACACTTTTAATGTGAAAAGAATGGTAAATAATAGTATCGTCTGCATCCACTGTCATTTCAACTGTGTGTATTCCGATAGATTCTGTTGTTCTTAATGTATCGCCTGTCCTTGGCTCTATTCTTAGGATTTATTTATTTTTGTCTTTTCATGATTTATGACTGCTGGTTAAGACAGTAAAACTAAACTCCATATCATTTGTAGAGCAAACTTGTACATTAACCTCATAGTCTTAACTGACTTCGACGCATTCCTTTCACAGCTTGTACATTAACCTCATAGTCTTAACTGACTTCGACGCATTCCTTTCACAGCTTTTCATTGACCTCATATTCTTAACCGACCTCGCATTCCTTTATCACCTATTCATCATAGTTAAAAACAATTCTGATATGTCGACAAAACATATTATTACAACGAATCGCAGCAGAGAGTCGTTAATTTCACAAACTATATACATTTATTAAACAACATGCGACATATCGTTGCAAACTGTCTACCGTGAATGTTCTTCTATCACTCTACAACATACCACGGTGATAAATGGCAGCCATTGTTTACCGGTCCATATTGTCACGTGATTATGGTAGAGGCTGGTCCATCGAGGCTAGGTGTGTTTGTAAACAAAGGCAATAAAAAGAAAAACATTTGAAGAGACCTATAGTCAAAATATAAGATTGAATGAAAAAGTGTCAGACTTCTCCTTGAAGACAAGGGACTAAAATTCGGGTCGCAATATGGCTTTCACTTGCCAAATAATTGTGAAATGCCGGAAGTAAAGAGTCTTGCCTATGAAGACACAACGAATTCTACCGTTCATTACCGAGATAGATTCATCTTTACGGAAATGCCGAGGATTTCCGAATGACGTCGTTGATAATTCAATTATTTCAATAGAAGGAAATCTCAAGATAGTCATTATAAACATATAATGTTTAATAAAAACAGTAAAACTAACAACTAATTTACATGTTTCTCATTTTGTTTGGCTACTATTGAAATACAGAAAGCAATTTAAACGAATTTAAAAACCATTTATTCAAGTCAGCCTTAGATGATTATCTACAAAGTGATTTTATTATTATTTTATTTGTGTCGTGATATTTCGACAAATCTTTCGTGAAATTGATGCAAGAACATCTTTAGAGAAAAAAATATCAGATTCAAACATATAACCAAATGTTAGATAATGCCAATTCTGCTGACAACAGTTTGCATGTCTCCACAATTACTCATGCAACGTTTCATATGGCATGGTTACCAGACATACCATGAAATCAAAATTTACATTAAGCCGCTCTTGAGACTAGTCTTGAGCTTAGTGTTCATTCTTTAATGCGACCCTTAGGCCTGCCCGTTAATGAAATTTCAGAACTCGCTAAATCATGATAATACATTAGATTGCGGCAATAAAGCCAAAAACTACTGTTAATGATTCTACAATATGTGTCAAATTCATTGGTGCTGAATTATCCTCGCTCTTGAGAATGATTATTCCGATTAAATTGAAGGAACTATTATTCACAGTGGAACTTGATCAGGGAGATTTGTATGAACATGATTACTTAGATCACGTTAATTCCCCTAGGAATAAACGTTTCTTTGATAACTAAGTGTTGATTTGTTTTAAATCAATAACCAATGTAACTCGGACTTTAACATTATTTTTGCAATTATGGCCATGGAGGTGACGAAAGAATCGCGTGGATGTTGCTTCCTTTAATCGAAAAGGCTGATTTGTGTAGCCTGTTTGAAAAGTAGGGTTCTTGAAATAATGACAATTATGACAACTTTATCGGAAAGTTTTAACTGAAATTATCTTGCAATTCCAATACTATTTTGAAGGTTTACCAAACGCTTTCAATTGGTAAAAAATTACAAGTGAAAACTTAATCTTTATTCTATGTTGTAGCCCGTATAAAAATGTTACTATTTAAAAATATGACATGGTTAACTTGATGCGGATTCAATGTTATGATGGTAATAGGCCTAACCTACTCCAGGAGAAACAAAAACCAATCAACATACAGCATTATTCTAATGACAGAAACAAATTCTGGACTATTTTATGATCCTTTCTGATAAAAATAACACAATAAACCTATTTTCTTTTAACTTTCATGACCCATTTCACTTCCGTTATTTCAATAGATCACTTACATCTTCCGGTCGTAACGCTGGCTGTTCCGGTGTAAGAAATCATTATTTTGGGGTATATTTCCGGTTATTGTCTTGTAAGTAACCAATACAATTTTCAAAAAGCGAAAACAAAATAAAGGTTATTAACTATTTTCTAGCTTCCTTTCATAATAGTTAAGGTATTTTATATAAGATATCATGTGAAGTGTTCTTACGAAAGCGTTTCATAATCAGTACAGAGTTAAATGAAAATAATATCGATATGCTCGACATTTTGATAAAATTGTTTTTTTGATCTTTCTAGAGCGATGCCTCGATAACGCACTAACCGGTGAGGTCATTTGGTCATGTCTTCAGAATGGGGGCATCAAGCCTTTTGGACTCCACTTTGTGATTAATCTCCACCTAACTCCTAATCTAGAATCTGTTCAAGAGTAATCATGTCCTGTAAGAGAAGTTAAACACATGACTAATTAATTGATTAATTTAAGTGATTAATTTTATGGAAAAATGGGTACACAATATACATTGCCGTTGAGATCTCCACGGAATCGAGGATGGGTTTAGACAAGCTTCGTTACATCTCCATGAACGCAATACAAGTGAAATGCACCATTTTTATTCAAAGCGTGCGTTGTGAACGCACATGTAGTAGTTGGAGTGCGATTGTTATAGAATTTGTAATGTTATTGGCCTTTTATTCGCGTTTTCTTCTTCTCGTTTACCGGCGAACCAGTACATTTTTGGTCGACATAAGGTTGCAAAACTCTTAATGTTGCATAAGGGTAAAACGAAACGAAGGATGATGGAGATTAAAAGAAGACAATCTTAATAGTGTCACAACAGGCAATTAAAGTATATTGTCATTTCGTGGAAAAAAGTATTTACTGCTAATAACTATTTCATACAATGAAGAATATAGAAGGGTACAATTGAAACATTTCAATATTCATTTATTCATAGTTCTAGTACGTTAGAATTACTATCGATAAAATACTAGATAACCAATACCAATATCAAGGTAATTTGAAGCCTTAGCTTGTTAGTCTTTTATTTGTTGGTGCTATTTCGAAGGGCTTTGTACCCGAGTCCTTAGTTAAAATTCCTTAAAAACAGCAAGTTTGAGAATATGTGTGAAAATAACTTCTTTAAAACAATGTTATGAACCAGGTTAGACGGATTATAAATTAGCGTCACATATTTTGTACATTTTCCGATATGTTTGGGTGTCAATTTCAATTCCAGTATTTCGATGCCATGGATTTCTTGAACATTCGTAGAGAACTGTTTCTTCTAGAGTAAGAGTGATAAGAAAAAGTATAGACGGACTCAAGTGGGTGTTTAAATAGAGAATTAAGCCTGGCTAAGTTCTATATTAGAAGTTATTAAATGAAAGAACCTGATATCTAGTAAGTTGATTCTATAAATATGCTAATCAGACGAAATATGAGCACCGTTATCATTAGTAACCAATACCATCTACTCTCCTAATAGTTTACTAACTTTGTCTTATCTTTTTATTTGATGGTATTCTGGTTTGTGTTGAGAATTTATCAGACCCATATTATAGATCTAATATTGAGTTATGTGTAGTCAAACTCTTGCAGGTAAGAGGGTCTTTCATGCAAAACCGTCTAATCGTTCGGATGGGACAATAAAAAGAGACCCCAATGTGCTACAAGGTGTATACGTTAGATCATTGACAGTTGGAAATCCTATAATGCCACTTTCCTGGAAAATTTTACCTTATTGCACCCTGCTTGGCGTTACACGTCTTCATTCGCCCACATGGTGCAGAAACGTAGGACGTAAAATTCATTCATTTCATTTTTAAGTTATAATTATTTCTACAGTTCACAAGTAAGAAAGAAAGAACAAACCCTTTTAACAAACAGAACACCTTGGATGTTTACTCATGATCCTTTCTTCTAGCTGGTCCGCCTCCTTCGACAAACGTCTAGCCATTGATTTATCCAGGATTGTCCGTACCCATATACGGCAGTGTCGTCTAGAATAATGAGAAAAAAATACCTTTTCAAGGTCACCAGACATTCATACGCCGACCGAGCACGAGCACCAACCATGCGGCAAAATATTTTCAAAAGTTTGTTACTTTTGTCTAGGAATGTCGACTCAATTTATTAGGAGAGTGACCCCATACATATTTAGATCACAGACCCTCACCCATCCGTGAATAACATAAACAACATCCTTACCTTGTTGACCTTCAGATAATACATTAGTCCGAGACATCTGCCTATGATAGATATTTTGACAGTTATTGGCTGTAGTATATTCGGAAAACCAGGCCCTGTTTTATGGGGATTTTCCACACCTTTTAAGATGCGTTTTTTCTACATGATATTATTATTATCTTTACGGTAACTGTAAATTAGTGTTGGGCATCACCGTAATATGTTAGTATCCCTTATGATGGTATGATTTAACTACATTAATATTTATCTTTCTGAATATATCTTGGTTTGATCACATTTAAATATATATGTTTAAAACCCCCGCACCGTCGAAATTGCGGAAATTCTCCATAAAACAGGGCCCAGTTTTTTTCAAACTATCAAACTTGCTATCAGAGGCTGAAATAGGAGCAGGCAGATGTTTCGGTCTAATATTATATATGTACATATATACCTGAAGTCACATATAAGACAACGATTTATTTAAAAAATACACTAGATGGATCCTATTACAAGTTTAAGAGTCAGTCTTATTTGATTGGTGTGAGCGTATGATGTCTACCGTATGGGTGTAGAGCGTTGTTCATAAACAGTATGGATACCTCGATAATCGAGAATTCTGAGAAATATAATGGAAAAACGGGAGCACAGATTGTATATCAGAAGTTAGTTGAATGTGGTGTAACGTTGGCCTGTGGAATAAGTGGTGGTAATATTTTAGATTTGATTGACACTTTCCATTCTGATCACCATCAAAGTTCACCACCTATAAATTTCATTACGAACAGTAACGAAGCTAACGGAGGATTTGTGTGTGAAGGCTATGCGAAGGCTTGTGGGAAACCAGCTGTTTGTGTTGTAACTTCCGGTCCAGGTCTGACTAATCTGATCACACCTCTACAAGATGCTTATTGTGATGGTGTACCTTTCATTGCAATTTCTGGTCAATCTCGAACCAATGCCCAACCAGAAGCTTTCCAATGTGTTGATGCCATTGCTTTGACCAAACCATGCACTAAGTGGAATCATAAAATCGGATCAGTACGAGAAATTCCCATGATATTGGATTATGCCTTTCATATTGCTCAAACTGGTCGACCTGGGCCAGTTCATATTGACTTTCCAAAAAATTTCCAATCTGAGGTGTATTCGTCAAATGACTGCAACGTAAAGCATAATAATTTCGAAGATTTTGCCAATGACAATATCACCGCCTTACCCCTGTTAGACCACGGACAATTAAACAATATAGTAAAACTAATTAATATGTCAGAGTGTCCCATAGTTTGTGTGGGCCAGGGTGCAATTGAGTGTCAACATGAACTGGTCGACTTTATAACTAAAACTAACATTCCTGTCACAACTACCGTTCATGCGATGGGGGTATTTGACGAACGGCATCCTTTGGCTCTTAAAATGTTGGGTATGCATGGTCACCCTACTCCTAACATAATGATTCAAAAAGCCGATCTTATCTTAGCGATTGGTAGTCGCTTTGATGATCGAATTACTGGAGCACATGATATGTTCGCTCCAGTGGCAAAAGCAGCACAACGTTTTGGAAATGGAGGGTTGGTGCATGTTGATATTCGACCCGGAGAAAAAAATAAAATAGTTAAAGTAAACGAATTTGTGAATTCAGACTGCAAAACCTTTCTCCGTGCAATCAATAGAATGGGTCTGAAATTCAAGGGCCGAGAAAAGTGGTTGAAATTAAAATTTGCATTAGAGAAAGCATATCCTATAATTGTTCCCTCTTATTCAAATGGCCGACTGTCAACACAAAAGCTAATAGTAGAATTGGATAAACAGATAGATGGAATTCGAGAAAAATGTTTATTCTCGACTGGTGTGGGATGCCATCAGATGATTACAGCACAACTTATAAGATGGACAGCACCCCGATCTATACTAACTTCCGGTTCATTAGGAACTATGGGTGTGGCTGTTGGTTATGCCATTGGTGCTAAGATTGCACATCCAGACAAAATCGTAATCGCTATAGACGGGGATGGGAGTTTTAACATGACCAATACAGAGCTGAAAACAATCATGGATCTTCAACTTCCAGTCAAGATTATAGTAGTGAATAATAGTTCTGAAATGATGGTAGTATATTGGCAGAAGTTGCTGTATAACAGGAGGACTATATCTACCGAGTTTGCTAATTGTGATTACAATAAATTGGCAGAAGCTTACGGTATTCATAATCTTTACTGTGACAATGAAAGGGATCTAGCTGGTCAACTCAGAGAACTCATTCAGTATAAAGGACCGGTGTTGCTGAACGTGGTTGTTGAAAAGACACCGTGTCTTCCATTGGTACTCCCAGGTAAAGCCTTAGATGATATGATTCTATATGACAATGATTTCCCTGGATTTGAAGGAAATTGAAATATGAACTCTGGGTAAAAAGATTAAAGTGGTGTTATTTATTGCTCCGTCGAGTTTTTGGCTTGTAACAAAATTGAAGTGGAATTGAAGTCATTGCTTGTTCTACAATTAGGGATTTGGCGACTATTGTAAAGTTCAATCATAGAACTTGGCCAGGCCATGAAGGTTAAAAGGCTGTTATTACTTGATTGCTGTGACTCAAAAATACGCAGACATAGGCAACTTGATCATCATTTGACATGCTAGTTCGACTCCTTGTCATATATATAAAATTGTGTTTTCCATATTGATATGTTCATTACTTTTCTGATATGGGACTCTAAATAAAAGGTAGTATTATGATGGTTAAATGCTGTTCAAACTAACATACGTCGCTTCTTACAGTTTTTTCATAACTGTTCCATAAATATTTTTCAGTTACTGTAGCTACTGCAGAGTAAAAAGAACAATTAAAAAAGAACATTGCTGAGACTTGAAGCTTTGTATTTGTTACATTTAAATCACATAAGTATTTAACCGCTAAAGGGATATTCTAAAGTTTGAATTACCAGCTTGTAAGAAGTATGGTCTGATATCAGACGCGTGTTTTTGAATGGCACTGCAAGCGGGAATTGTGTCATCATTAATAGTCTAAACACAATCTTCAATACCAATTGTAAGATTGTCCGAATATACATCCCTAGAGACAATTATTGGAAAAACATGCGGGGATGTACTGTTATGTATCCCCAGATTCACGATATCATTAACTACTACCGTATCGGCCTCTTTCAACGACTATTATATACCAAAATACAATACTGTGTATTTTGTGGACCTGCAGATAAAACGTTTGACTTGAAGATTAGCCGGAAATCCTTTGTGTAACTATATAACACGAGAATCTGTCAAATTAAGATAAATCTTTTCTTAGACATTTCAATTTCTTTATCCGTATTATTCCCAATTGGTTTTCCTTGCCTGTTACTGTTTTTATTCGGCTTACAACACATTCAATTTGAAAATAATCCAATGTATCATAAATATATATGTTTTTGACATGTACTATTGTAGGCCCTACTTTGATAAAAATTTGTTACACCAAAAATCTCACGAACCGATTTTTTTTAATGAAACGAGAATAAAGCAATCTTACAAATTAAAAGTGACCATTAAATAAACCAAATAGACCTACACCGATCTGAACCGCTACACGAAACCCAAAATCCATACAACATATTGCCGAAAATGCAGTAGTAGTTAATGAACTATCCACATAAGGAAAATATATCAATCATAAGTAGGTATCTGTTAATGAAAAATGGTATGAGTAAGCATTCCCTATCTGACGCCACATCCGCCATAGCTGCTTAACATACACAACCAACACTTCAAAGCTCCAACAGAAGAAATAGCCACTTGACGTAATTGATGAAAGTAACACTTTTCAAATTTCAATAGTTCAAGGGACGTAACTGATGAAAATACATTTCTCCAATTAAATAGTCAAGGGAGGGAACTGATCACAATAACTGTTATATTGTGATAAGAAAAAAATGTTGCAAACACCCGAACCCTTAGGAAGCTTTAAATGATGAAAAGGGAGGCAAAACAAAAGCTAATGTTATATAAAATTATCGACATATGAGTGTGATGACAAATTTAAACTTGATCGTTAAACAAAACATCTGCAATGATTTTAGAAACAAATATTTTATATTTCTCAATTAGTTGATGATGGTGACCGTAAAATTTTTGAAGGGAGGTTTTGAGTCGATTCTTCACGTAGTGGGGAGCTTTAGGTTCGTACAAAACTTGTATTCGACTTTGAACTACTTTTCAAGATCTTTCTGTTCATTAGATTTATTGGTTCATTATTTAAGGTGGAACCAGACATGTCGTTATTCCATAGGGTCCTAATGGTCTGTTCTTTAACAAATCATTTCACTTCATTAGTACTGTGAAATATCTCATCACTGAATTAGTTCATGTATCCTCTTCAGTAGAATAGTCTGATATTTCATCTTCATACAGTTATAGCTTACTTAAGTTGGTTTGGCCAACAATGATGGCAGTGTCATTTCTACGGGGATATTGCCCCCAAGACAAGAGGCTGACCCGGCCCCCCCCCCCCCCCCGCACCCACTATCAACATAGTTATCAATTTAGGTAGTGAAATCATAGCTTATGCAACACCCCCCCCCCCCCCCTACCCCCACCCTCATAGCCATTTTACTAGGTCAGTGACATATATTTTACTGAAGGCTTTGTTTGACCGTTATCTCAGAAAAGTCCGGAAGAAATCAGAAGAATTTTGAATTAACGTCTATTTTCACATATCCAGGGAATTTTACAATTAATGAGGAACTTCGTTATTTCTATTATTAGCATTTTTATAGAATCAATCATGTATTAGAAAATCTTTAGCAGTTTCTGGAGGAAAATTGCTTTTTATATCGCTTATATACTAATGGCGGTATTAATAGACGATTGTCTGTAATTGGTTGGCCTATTTTACCACAATAATAACCGATTAACCTCTCCCGGGTAACATTGCTTTTGAGAGTTGAACATATATCACCATTTAAACAAGAATTTGAGCCATTTAGCAAATATTGATATAACTGATTGGTTCTTATTGCTTGATCTGACAATCTCTTATCCAAGTTAGAATCATCTCCATTTTATATCTTGTTCTATTTTTGTTCATCAATTCCTTTCATTATAAACTGAAACAGTCACTTCACGCTGTTTTTATATTGTATATGTGAGGAAGAATGGTACATTTACGTGGAGTAGATAATAAAATTTAAAGGCCAAAGGTCAAAAAGCCTTGTTGCTTGCATTGCATGGTCAACTTGTTTTTCTATAAAACTGATAACTGCAACAGAATCAACAGAAACTTGAATTCAATTATTGAAAAACATCCTCGTGGTATAATGTCGTTTCCGAAGAAGTGGAAAGAAATTCTGAAAATGATATGTTTTGACAGAATATTATAGAAATAATTACAAACTCAACTATATTTCATTTTCCCGTCTGACATAAACATTTACTTTCACCTACTCAAATTTTTCAAATTAAAATCTATAAATTCTCAAATTCAAAAATTCCAGCAGAATAGGCAAATATTTCAAAATATCCACCGAAGATGAACAAATGTTAAAAAGAAAGTAGATAGCTGTGTTAAAGAAGGCAGTCGCAGGTGTCTTGTCTCACTGATTGGTATTCTGCATGATGGCAGTACTATAAATAAAACAAAATGAGTTTTACGTTATTAATGTTATGCAATGACGGAAATGGTTCTTGGACATTGGCATAGTGTGATCTTTTTTACATTGCTTAGGGAATCTTAAACAAACTGTAGTATACGTGCCATTTCCTTTTAATTTCCTCCGACCTGCATTACTGGCAGGATAAAAAATCCTAAGACATATCTCGACTGGGAGTTAACCCTAAACCAAGAGGTTAGTGAGCAAGCATACAATTTATTGAGTTACTGTTGCTTTAAATCAATAAGCTGTGGACTCAAAGCAGCTTTAAAGTTAACAAATGGGTCAAATCAATAGCAGATTTTGAGAAGTCAATCTTTAACATTGCTAACCATAAAATTACTTTTTGAAGCTCATTTAAAAGGAATAGCTCTTTCTGAAAGAGTTTTCATTAGAACTATAGTGTACTCACATTGACGCAAGACAGTTTCAGATATTTCTGTCCTTCATCATATCGGAATACTACAAAAACTAATTCTAAGGAATTAGCTGTCTAATTTTTAAAAGACTGCGCGTTATAAATTAATGGCTATATTCGATATCCTAAACCATTTCACGTCTTTTTCGTTCATATGAAATGTCAAATGTTGTAGATATTAGAGAATTTTAATGGAACTACGTAACCGAAGACAAAACGTCAAATTTTTTATTTTTTTTTTTCAAAATCGAACTGTCAACATAAACATAATGTTTTAAATTTTGGGTTTAATATTTCACAGAAAAGTGCCATAAAGTTTTTTTTAAATGAAGTGAAGTAATAAAAAAAATATCTTTAACTGTAAATGTATATGCACAAGGGAACAGATGATACAATAGCGGAAGGCCATCGACTTTTTGATAAACGCCAGCGTTTGCGTTTCCTGCCTACTATTGCAAATGACGGATGAATTTGTCAATATTGGACGAAGGGCGGTCTAGGTTATCTACCAGCGTCGATGATTTAGGATTGTGATTTTGATATGTCAATCTGTCACAAGTCGTCTTGGGAATAAATTTCAGCTCAGTATATTTCGCTTCCTTGAGTGATATTACAGGCAGTTTGCTTCTAACTCTAGGGATTGCTTGCCACAGAGTTCACTTAGATGTTTACGTTGTCAGTTATCATCAGATGTAATGGGTGTATCTCAAATTGTTTCTGAGTATCAAAGATGCCACAAAATGAACGTTCAGTTGACAAAACTAATTCCTAACTTGGCATTACATGTTCTGGAAGAGTGGCAGGACTTCTCACAGAGTTTGTTACAATAGTGCTCAAATGCAAATAAATTGAAATAAATATTACAGTTCCGTTTTATTTCCAGTTTTCATGATCTGGTCAAAAGGATTAGAGAATTTCTATAGGTTTTCGATGACATTACTTCACCTGCTATTACCTTTAACCTACATTTTGAGGGATAGTGCCGTTCTTGATTTTAAAGACAAAAATTGTTTTGCTTACTGAACGATTATGTTACAAAAACTAGAAATAGCATTATCAGCCATGTAAATTCTTCAAAATTGTGTGTTTACATTATAATGGTAATTCCCTACTGACTAATTAAGAACTCACGTTACCAGGTGGCCTTGAATATGATGTCGTTTTTGACCTTGGAAGAGAGGTTTAAGATGATGACAAATCATCCTCCTTATTAATATGCTATTATTACCCTTAATATCCCAATGATACGAAAGTAGTGGAGCGTTCAGCACTCAAATTACTTTCTGGGTAGAATTCCCATTATCTCATTACCCCTTAATTAGCAATATACA